AAGAGAAGAATCAGAGGAGATAAATAGAGATTGTACCCGCATATCGTTTGATCGAAATATATTTAAGTTGTACAAAAGTTTTATGTTTTTCATAAAATTTGTTGTTACACTCCGACATGGTTTTCTTGTCGTTGCCATTTAGAGCATCTCCAATAGATTGTTAATTGTAGAAATATAGAAGCAATTCAGTAAAAAACATCTCCAACTCTTAATGTCTAGATGGTAATCACAATGACGTGGCTGAAAAGAGAAGGAAAAATGTCTAGCACTCATTTACATGTAGAAGTTATGTCAGACATCTCCCACTCCCTTCATTTTTTTATAATATAAAATAAATAGATAATACATGTATATATTTTGTTATAATTATGTATTAAAATACATCATAAAAGGATATTGTAAGAAAAAACCGATACAAAAATACCTATTAAAAATTTAATGGTATATATTTTGTTAAAATTATGTATTAAAATACATAATAAATATTTAATGGTATATAATTTGTTAAAATTATGCATTAAAACACATAATAAATACCGACATTATACAATACAATTTAAAGCTCAGTAGAATAATAATTTATTTTTTGTCACTCTTCAACTACGAATAAAATTCTTGTGCAATATATATCGTTGAAATTCGACATTAAAATTTTTGTTTTTTTGCTTTTCTTAGAACAACAAAATAAAAAAAAATAATAAAAAAATGTGTATAGACATTTATCGTGTACCATTGGAGGGTTATTTATAACCTGTCATTCTATTTCATCCACGTAGAGAGAGGTCGTCTATTATAGACAACAATTCATTCCAATCATTGAAGATGCTTTTATGGTCCCTTTACAAATACCTCCCAGGCCCATTCATGTCCTCTGGGTAATGGCCCATTTTATAAGCCCGCTTATCCAACGGGCTCCAGCCATTAGATATAAGATCAGCCGACCTGATTTCAAAGGGCTTTGACCCGTCAAACTGTATTACAATATAATAATAAAACATCAACATCTATAATTTATGAAAAAATAAGATTTTTGTCTGAAAATTTGATTTAAGTCAAACTTTACAGCACGTTGTATAACATTTTTGTTGATGAGAGTTAACTAAATAAACACTTTTTTTAAGAAAAAAATAAATAAAATTTAAAATATGTGATTACACTATAACCATACTTTTATTTTTTATAGGTTATTTTTGAAAGTATCACGTAAAACTTTTCATAACCAAAACTTTCAATTATCATTATATTAATATATTAATTTCGTACATTATAGTGTTACAAACAACATTGTAACGTTATACTTATAAAATCAGTGTAATCTATTTTACTACCCACAATTTAAGTAGTGTGATTTTATTTTTGTTTTTTTTTTTTAAATTTCAGAAGTCATTCAAAGTAAAAAGCATTTTTATGCCATATTTATAGGTTTCCATTTATTTGAAAAGTATTTTATTAAAGAGTTTGTTAAGCTTGTAATTTGACTAATTAGTTGTTACTAGTTGATCACCAATTTTGATATAGAGTCATCGGATGACGCGACTTATGGAGTCATTCACGCTCATTCATGACTCATGTCCTCTAATTTTTGAACACGTGTCAATATATTAAGTGATGTATGACTCCATTAGAAAACTATTCGAGGACTCCATAGATTTTTTTGAGCTAATCATACAATGCTGCATAAGTGCATAGTAATGAACTAATGATTCAAAACTTTCAAACAAAGGTCCTCAACTTTGTTGAAATTACACATCAATCTGTGGGTCCCCGCACAAGAAACCCTAATGAGCAACCCACACTCAAACTCAATTGCTCCAAACCAATCATTGGTGATATGTGTGTTTTGAAATTCCCAATTAGGTGTAAATATATGTATGTTTTTGTGGAGAAGGTTTGGGCCATTGGTGTAAGAACAATAATAGCACAATCATTCTCATTTGTTGTAGAAAAATATATGTATATTTTAATTAAATTTATATTAATTAAATTTTTATAAATTAATTAAAAAATTACATTTTTTTTTTATAAAATAAATATAACTTTTTTTACTTTTATTTTAAAATAATTTTTGAATCATCTAAATGCTACTCCCTCATATTTTTTTTATTTGTCGTTTTGAGCAACAACGGTAATTAAAAAATTATTTTCTCCTTTATAAGATTATTTTGTCGTTTTGAAAAGCAACGGTAAAATTATTTTCTCCTTTTTAGGTCAGCCAAACCAATCCAAATGTGCTTTTGCTTTTATCTCATCAAATCTGATTCTCTTCCCCACAGATCTCTGCACAAACACTCACACACACACTCACTGTGTGTAATATTTTTCCCCTTTTGCTCTCCGCCACTCCTTTTTTTTTTTTCCACAGATTCTCCCACTTATTGTTATTCGCGCAGCAGCTTTACACTGACCCATCTATTTACAGTCGGCGGCGGGGGAGAGAAATCAGAGGGGTTTCGAGGCGGAGATGGACGTCAACAGCGGCGGCGCGTCGGCGGTGGAGCTGCCGGAGAGCATCTCCTCTGTTATCCCGGGGTGGTTCTCGGAGATTAGCCCAATGTGGCCTGGTAATTTTTTTTTATTTTTTTATTTTTTATTTCCATATGCGTTACTGCGTACTGATCTATTCTGTGTGTCTGATTTTTTGTCGTGGGCTATGCGTGCTTTAGGAATAAATTGTTGTTTCGACCTCGATTTGTTGTTTTTTTGCTTTCAAGAATGGGTTTTTATTTAGGTTTTGATTTGCGATTGGGTTATAGAGGAAAATTTTGATTTAACGTATACTGAAATCAAAAATGGGGAAAAGTAAAAGCTTTTAGCAAACAACAAGATGTTAATCGGCAAGATGTTAATGGGCAATCTTCTTCCCTTTTCGAAAAATTTGCATTTTTTGTCCCTGGTCCTTATGATTGTGATGATATTGCTAAATTTGAACCAATATATGATGAGTAAAATGGAAAATATTTGAAGGGATTTTCCTGTCTGTGTAATTTTAGACGTGATTATGTCATGTTCTTTTGTTAGATACTCATATGTTTTCAACAAATATGCATAGTTTCGACATTTTATAGCATAAGTATGCATTTTATTAAAAATGTATGACGGGTCGACCCTAAAAAGTAAAAGAGAGAAATATTACAGCTCATTCTGCTGATTTTTTTGTTTCGACTGGTTGATTTTACATATTTGCAGGGGAAGCTCACTCGTTGAAGGTTGAAAAAATATTATTTCAGGGGAAGTCTGATTACCAGAATGTTTTGGTTTTTCAGGTACTTTGCTTCTCTGAAGACGCTATGTTAAAAAAATCCTTTGGCATATTAGAATTTTGCTTATAAATTTTTATTTTGCTACAGTCAGCATCATATGGAAAAGTTCTAGTGTTGGATGGTGTGATTCAACTCACCGAGAGGGATGAATGTGCTTATCAAGAAATGATTACTCATCTCCCACTCTGCTCCATTCCGAATCCGAAAAAGGTTTCAACTTCTGCTCTTGGATCTTTAAGGCCATTATTAATAAACAAGTGAATAATTACGATTCAGGAGAAGGGGAAGTCTTATAAAGAAAACATATTTCATAGAAGAAAAATAAATAAAAATACAACTTATTCTTTATCTTCATATTTTTTTTGTGAAGGTCTAAGCAGATTTTGTGCTTTCAGGTTCTGGTAATTGGAGGAGGAGATGGTGGTGTTTTGCGTGAAGTGTCTCGTCATTCATCGATCGAGAAAATAGATATATGTGAGATTGATAAAATGGTGGTTGATGTGAGTAATTTTTCGCACTAGATTTTATTTTTTTATTCATTTAAATTAATTTCTCTCTACTTCCATTATTTTTCATCAGTTTCTTCTCTGATACTGTCATCAATCTTTGTAATGTAAACTTATTTCAGTGATCAGCATCAGACGATCTATTTTGGAGATTTTGAAAATCCTATTGTGATTAACTGGCAAAATTATTTCTTTTCAGGTTTCGAAACAATTTTTCCCTCATGTAGCAGTGGGGTATGATGATCCTCGTGTGACATTGCACATTGGAGATGGTAAAATATAAACTGCTGCAATTTCTCTCCTTTTTTCTTTTTTTGCTTTCATTTATTATCTTTACGTGTCCTCTCCCAGACTCGAT